GAACACTGGGAATGGAAATCCACCAATGACTGTACCTGCCTAGAGCCAAACTTGCAACGTCTGTCCTGGGCAAGATCAAGTCAAAGACTGGAGATCACGATCCAGGACGGGCGTGGCAACTTTGGCTGACTTGATCTGATTGGGCAGGAATACAGTCTACTACCCAATGGTGGAGTCTCCATCTCAGTGCTGGAGAAGAAACCATTAACTGACACCTGTGATTCTGTGATTAAAGTTCCTTCTTTACAAATGACTGAAAAAGTTCTTTAAGATGATACATAAATGACATCAGATTCTAACTCAAACCTTCTCCAGAAATATTAGCTTTGTTTTCAGGAACAAAACAATGCGATCTCACCCGAAACAAAGTCCCATTTACTTCCAATTAAACCACAATTAGCATTACCTTATTCGATAGAGTACAGTGATAGTAGCTGATCCATCTATTTGGAAGGTATAATTTGGAGGATACCAACATCGGTCAACCTCGTTCATTAGTGCAAACATGTTGTGGTACACAGGCAGGATCCCTATAAGGCAAAAGAGAAAGAAGAATCTCACTACAGATAGTCCTCACTTAACAATGGTAATTGGGACTGGAATTTCCATAGCTAAGCAATGTAGTCCTTTGGTTGTTCCACTTAGCAACAGAAACTTTGGCATTTCCAGTTGTCATCACTATGCAAATCATTGTTAAATGAGGATGTTACATGATCACAATTTGTAACCTCTTACTTGTTTCCTCATTGATTTGGTAACAAGAAGCCATCAAAGGAGCTTTCAAATGATAATCACATAACTGTGCCTATGCTATGAACAATGTAAGTACAATGTAAGTCATTAGTGTGAACAATTGCTGAATGAATGGCAGTTGAATGAGTACATTCTGTAAAGTCTTTATCACATAGAACGTGCTACTAAAAGATGCTTAACTGACTGTACCCACAAGGTTTCACCCTTTCTTTGGATTTTAAATCTCAAAAGACGATCAACAAAAAAATGTAAAAGCTAATACCTAAACAGAAACATTATATCTCAGTAATTCTTTTCAGCAATTTTTAAATAATGTTATACGAACACAAGAGATACGAACAAACATTATACAGAAAAGAATAGGACAGGATGTCCCTTCAGCAGCAGTCACTGTATAACCTCCCTTAACTACTGGCTTTGATTTCATGAGATAGATAGATATTCACATGCTAAAAATAGAGAGGATAAACTAAATGGAAACTGTTAATGGTCTCTCTCTGTAAAGAGAAGGCTCTTTGGCCCAGTAGATACTCATCTGATCAGAATGAGAGTTGATTCCCAGTGATTTTATAGTTAACACATGCATGTGCTTGCACACGTGTGTACCTGCATGCATAGGTGCGTGTGTGGGTGTGCACCCCACATACAGAGATACCATGCCACTCCAAACGGTTCCAGAAAGCTGGAGAATCCTTGTAACAGCATGGGACAGTTCAAAGTGAGCAAGAAAATTACAAAATCAGCGTCCTCCTTGAATTAGGAAGTTTTAATATATGTAATTGGATAACGAAGATTTTGTTTTTGTTTTTTTCAAATTCATGATTTGAAAGGAGAAACAGAGGGTTGAAATATCAATCCTGTAGACCAGGGATGTCAAACTGCCAGTGTCAAATGTGTCATGGCAAAACTGAGCCCACCCCATTGCCGGCAAGGAAAAAAAAGTCACAATACGTTCCGACACGTCATGTGACGTTGCGAGTTTGACACCCCTGCTGTAGACAGATCAAGACACGTCAATCTGCCACCTCAAATTTGAAAATTCAGATAGCTATATTTTATTCTACTTCCAGCTACAAAGGTAGGTTCTAATGCTAACATAATAACTTGGAATAAAATGATCTGAGGTCCTTGAATTCATCTGCAGATCCTTCCGTCTGTTCTATGTGAAGGCCCTTGAATCAAAATGAGGTCAGCTACTCCTAGGATTAAAAGACTGGGCCAGACACAGCTATACATTATGATGGAGATAAGCATCTGTTTGCATAGTTTAACTGCACTGCAAGCTGCTTTGGAAACTAGTTCTAACTGGTTTAATAAATTATGGATATAATTCATTTATAACAAGTAAACCTTATTTATTAATGTGCCTTCTGATTCCTTGCAAAGGAGCCTAAGTAGCAATAAGTTATGCTAAGACTATCAGAAGTACAGAAGCAGATAACATGCACCTAATTACATATTTTTTTCACTGTTCCGCTCTTTCAGCGTTTCATTATTTCTCCAGGGTAGTTCACCATCTTGTCTTACAGTTTTCACTTACGATGGAATAAAGAAGAGGACTAGTCCTCACATTTTATTGAGGTGCTGGTAAAAAGTGTGCTAAATGTTTTGAGCTTGAAATATTCTGACTTCAAAGCAGCTGTTTCCTTAGTGTTTTGAGCAAAAGTCAAAATATGTCTGTTCTGAGAGTTTTGTACACCACAACACAGCTGCATGTACCTTGTTTTGTTTGAGAATAAGTGATTTGCTGCTTGTGGGAAACACAGACTACATATTACTGCCAGCAGTTGGCAAAACAGTTTTGTTTTAGTATTCTTAGTATCTTTAGTATCCTTATGTAAAAATATATTCAATATTTCTTTCCGTGGACCGGAGGGGGTGTGGTTTTGTGTGCCGCCTGCATCCTGCGGGTGGGGCTTTGCTTGTTTGTGCGGACCTGTTGCTGGCATGCCGCGGCCCGGTACCAGTCCACGAACCGGGGGTTGAGGACCCCTGATCTAAAGGACCACTGTTTTCCATGGCTTCTGCATTGGCTATATAATTGGCTAGAGATGGCATGCTCCAGGTCCTATCCACCTGATGGAACCTAGGAAACATCCGTTCTCTGCCAAAGCATCTGTCTTCTGATACAGCATCCTCTCCTTGAGCTACACAGCCCCTTTCCCCTGGACCATGGTGAAAACAGCTCTGAAACCTGGCTGTATCTCCAAGGCTAGAGTGGATATTGGTCCCGCATGGTTGATTGTCTTTTAATAGTTGTTTTCTTCTAGATTTCTTTTGGGGGGGGGGCATTTGTATTGTATTATTCTTCTGTTTTTAATGTATGTTGCCTAGAGCTGGGTGGCCTTATAAATTATTTAATGTATTAATGAATACTAATGAATGAATGCATGAATATTAAATAATTTCCCACATGTCATTGTTTATTTTTATGGCTCATTTGATTCTTTTTTAAATAAAATCCATCATAACCCTGTGAAAGCTGATCTATGAGAAGATAGTATGAAAACCAGTTCTAATGTGGCTGAGATAGCGAGATTAAAAAAAACCTTGTTCTTATGTTGTTATTTGGTAATTATTTCTTATTGAGGAAATTTACCCTTTGATTGAAAAAGAACAGAATGCTTGCTACTAATAATAAAAAAGAAAACTACAAATATTGATTTTTTATTAATTTTCTGAATATCGCTCACTGGATATATTCTGTATCTATGCAACCTGCCCCTCTGTCAGGAGCAAAAGAATAGATCCACACATGAAGGTTCAATTAAACTGATTTATTGCTAAAAGCCTATGCACAGGAATCATCTTAACTAATGGCTGGCACCTGTACAGACTTAGATAAGGGTCAATGGTACTCAAGGAGGGTTGGACTTAGTTCTCTTATGGCTACATAGGGATTCTGGACTGATCCCTCTTTTCACTCTGCCCTGTCATCCCTTCTCCTATTCCTCTCCATGACTCTGCAGAAATTTTAATATGGAAACTACGTATCAATTTAAAAGCAGAAAAGCATTCTGGCAATATGATTATGTAACTGGGATGAAAACCAAGTCAGACAGAGGATTAAGATACGTCTGTGACCTTTAGCATTCTTGCCATCACACAGATCATAGCCAAATAGTTTCACTTACTGCTTTCTGTAGCAACTGCCAAAGTTAGCAAATCTTGTTTTTACAATGCAAACAATGCTATCTTAATTTTTTTTTTTGTTTAGTCAGTTACATGCTGCCAAAATGTTTAAATCAGGGCCCCTCCTTTAAAACAAACAAGTGAAATTTGCAAGTACAACATTTGAAAAATTAGCTTTATGCAAGCATTTCTAGGCATCTCCCTGCATATTTTACTATTTAAAATGTAGAATGTAGTGTGTGTTCATATGAATGCTGTTCTCTAGCTCTCCATTTAATCATCAGGAAGGTGAACACAAAGTTATCTACAATAAGAAACCTGGATAAGTTGGGACTGTAAATGCATGAAATTAAACATACTTTAGAAACCACTTGCAGAACTTCTCAGAAAATATGCAAAATACACTGTGCAAGAATATTGGGGACTAGGCTTCCTGCACCCCCATCTTCTTAATATTTTAGCTCTTGTACATAGAAATCAAGCCTACCAACATACCCTTATTGCTCTTTTTGTGCAAGAAAAACACACACTGCAAGACAAAAACAAGGATATTCTTCCAGTATGAAGTCAAGTTCTCCTGAGAGAAATTGATATTACATGCCAATACGAGGCAGAGCCAAAGCCAAAAAATGTCATATTCAATCACACATTCAGCCATTATGCTTGAAAAAGGCCTACTATAATAGTAAGGGTCACCATTTATATTAAAACAATGTTAAACTAATCCCTACCATGGTATTATATAGCATATAACCATGTTAAACCAATATCCATCAAATCACATTATGGCTTATTGCAATGTGTAAAAACAGTCAATAGGATGCAAGATAGGAAGAGATTAATTCAGGTGCCATGCCATACCATGTCTTGCAAAAAACATACTTTACAAACCCAAATTGTTTTGAAGATCCATACAGGCAAAATATTATTTGTTTGTCTATACAAATTCATTCCTGTCACCAGGGTAAAATAGTAAAATTATTAGCTTCATATAATTTGAGGCATGGTTCAAATTGTACTGCTATTTTCAGAGTTATGGTGGTAAATAAATGGTGCAGTAATATGACTTACAAGTAAATCAGCCATGAAGTCATTTCTTGTATATATTGATATGGATATTTTAACTGTGGAATCTTTGCCAAATTAAAGTAATCAATGCCTCATATTAATTCTGCAACAGGTGCTTCAGAAGACAGAAGTGTGCACACAGCATCTGTGTAGTCATTATGTCTCCACGATGACAAAACTACAATGGAAAACTCCATACAAGAGTTGCATAATCTTAGCAACACATACACAGCTCCAAAGGTTGCTTTAACAAATTGCAGACAAGCACTGAATTCATGGGTCTCATGTGTTCAAAAAACTGCTATCAAATTACTCACTGGATAACAAAGATGCCTGGCGCTGTTCTCAAAAATGATTTTGGAAGTAACTGTTAAGATCATGTATCATTTCATGAGTTAAATTACTTTTTAATCTATTTGACATATGGTACCATAAAATAAAGGTAAGGATTTGTGCCATCACATATAACAGCAGTGAAGCTCTGACTAAGTAATATATAATCCTTTAACAAGATTCACTTAATCCATTAAACTATAAAATCTAATCAATAAAAATATGTGTAATATGTATCTCTAAAATACAATCCAGAAATACATAAATGAGCTCCCCTTTCCTCCTTTGGCATGATCAATCTAACTAGCTATTTTATTTTTGCACTGTACATAAACTTTCATTAATCTTATTTTTTTATATATTTTATTTACTTTTTATGAAATTTATTGCCGCCCATCTCATATCCAATGACTCTGGGTGGCTTACAACATAAACCAGTGATGGCGAACCTTTTAGAGACCGAGTGCCCAAACTGCAACACAAAACCCACTTATTTATCGCCGGGTGCCAGGTGGGCGTGGCCCACTGGATGGGTGTGGCTGTGGTGGTCATGGCAGATTGGGTGGGTGTGGCCAAAGTGGGTGTGATCACCTCAATGTTGCTCGTGGGGAGGGATGCCTGTGGGGGCCAGGCAGGGTTGGGGGAGATCCAGGGGGTCTCTGGCAGGTGGCTCATCCTGCGGGGTGAGGCAAGGCAAGGTGAGGCAGGGGCCGGGCGGCTGCTGCCCGACACCATCGGCCCCTGCACACAAAGGCCAGTGAGCGCATGGGTGCTGGGATGCATCCAGCCATGTGGGACCTCGGCGAGTTAGTGGGTGGCTGGTTGAAGAGGGACGGTTGTCATCTCCGGGGCATGGCGAGTGTGCCCAGAGAGAGGGCTCTGAGTGCCGCCTCTGGCATGCGTGCCATAGGTTCGCCACCACTGACATAAACCATTAAAAAACTTTAAAATCACCTATTATAAAATAACACAGACAAAACCATGAACACAACATGGCAAAGGAGGGAGCCAGACATGCGGGGCGGGTGGAATGGGATTAGGTTTTAATTAGTCAACCACCTCCAGTGTGAAGCTCCCCCATTGGGTCCTGAAACCATCTGGCAATTCTTATCCATGGTTCACTGAAAGCACAATTTCTGAAGCTGTGCTATAAAGAAGTTATGTAGTACGTTTGAACTTGGTTTTGCGACTGAAATATGGATAAATTAGAAACCATTTTTTTCTGCTGGAGAGAAAGGGAAGGGGAAGGAATGGGAGACTTTGGAGGCGTGCAAACTGAAGAGAAAGAGGTAGAGAAAGAAAAATAAATAAATACAAAATTTGTCTGAACAAGACCAATACAATGAGCTACTATTGCATACTGAAAGGGGGAGGGATCCATTCCAAAAGTTGAACAGACTCATTCATTTGATCCAAAGAAATTGCAAAACAACCCCCCAAATACAAGGTTGTTTCTTACTAATTCCTAACAAAGGAAGACAATATATTTCTACATTTTTTTTAAAAAAAAAGCTATGTTCTTACCGCAAGCCTTACAGCAGGCAACACAAATTTCTTCTGCAACATACTCTCCAGCTGGAAACAGTAGATAGTCACCTTCTGTCTTTCCTGGGGAATTATAAAGGTAAATTCGAAACAGCTGTTCGGATGGTTGAGAAATGGTAGAATTGCCAACAATGCCACCGTTTTGATGAATAGTAGATGATACTGTTCCTTCCATATCTGTCACTGTAAGTAAGGCCATGATAACTTTACATTCTGTTCGGCATATCTTCCTGCAAGATATTAAAATTAAAATATGTAATCATTTTAGTTATATATCTAGAATATTTTGCATTCGTTTAGACTTAGTTTATATATAGATTTGGTTTATTCAAGGCAATGTCCAGCATTCCAAAAATGAATGCATCCTCTCTTTCTGAAACTCTTTAAGAATTTAACATATCTGATGATACAGTTTTATAGGATCACTGACTCTCAATTGACCTTCTAAGTAATCTGAAGCAAATAATGCTTCCTATAGTAGAGAACCAACTTCTCAAAAAAACTAAATCCAGCAAAATGTAAATATGTATGTTCTGATACTACATAGTAACTAAGAAAAGAGATAATTGAGAATTTCAAAAATCCAATCATACTTAACATTTCATCAACACCAGAAACCATTTGCAGCACCAAAATCAAATCAAATCAAATCAAGACCAGACAGGAGTCTAATTATGCTTGAGGGGAAGAGTGTTGGACTTTGCTGTCCCAGGACCTTGTAAATGACTGTTCTTATTGTGTCATCTCCTGCAGGAATATTAAGCAACTTTCCCAAAGGCATAAACCAAAGGAAAAAAAAATCTGGCACCCCAAGAGAATAATAACAAGGCCAGCCGTTCATTCATTCAATTTCAACTTTCAAACCAATAGCAGACTTTCTGAATCTTCACTCAGCCTTGTAATACAGAATCAGTGCATGGTTGATTATTGAGCGGCTGTTTAATTAGCTTTCTGGGGGAGGAGATTAATTTTGCAGGAAAAAAGCTTCATTTTTTCCTTCCCTTGCTAAATATTACTGTTCTCTACCATCATAGTCATCAATGGTTTTCTTCTTTCATCACATCATCCTTGAAAATATTGCTAGCAGGAGGAAATCTCATGTTTTCTTCCTTTTTAACAGCATCCCAATAAGTAACTTCCTGCTGCTGTTAGCAGTGCAAAATAGTTACGTAGAGCAAGATTAATAGGAAGAAAGAAAAAAAATTGAGTTTCCCAGCTATGTGCATCAAGATCACGGGGAACAAGAGAGAGCAGTGTGGGTTCTCCCCACCAGCCATTTTTCTGCCAAGATATCAAAGGGTGATGATGGTGATGTACTCAACTGACACTTGATGTTACCTTATATCAGTGGTTCTCAACCTTTTTAATGCCGTGACCCCAACCGGTTGTAAGTCGAGGACTAAACCGGTCGTAAGTCGAGGACTAAACTGGTCGTAAGTCGAGGACTAAACCGGTCGTACGTCGAGGACTACCAAACCGGTCGTAAGTCGAGGACTTTCCCTGCCCGGGAGCGCCGCACATGCGTGGCTCCGCCCCCTGCACCGGCCGAGGCGTAGCTGGCAAGCGGCAGAGATGGAGCAGGCCGACCACCAGCTGGCCCAGCCCAAGGGAGATAAGGCACCCGCCGGAAAAGGGGGAAGAATGGCGGACAAAAAAAATGGACAAAAAAAATGGCGGACAGCCTTGCTTGGCGACCCCCGTGAAATGGTCGATCGACCCCAAATGGGGTCCCGACCCACAGGTTGAGAACCACTGCCTTATATGAACATGTGGGCAAGGTTCTGCTTTTTAACATTTCCCAGTACTAATACATTCTGTTCCTTTTTGGAAGCTTTACCAGGCAGAAGGCTCATTTTTCGGAACTTAAACATCTCATAATACCTTCTTCACCTGTACTTGATGACATAATCCAAAGTTCATACAATAATAATGTGACTGCTTTTAAAATGCTACAGGATATCTGCTGCAAAAGATCCCTTCAATATTGTAAAATGCAACTCTATTGTAGCTGCTGCAAAATACAGGCTCACAAAATGGATATCTGGAAGCTTTTATATGACAGATAAGGAGCTGCAAGACAATGAATCCACTCACATAAGAACTGTTACATGAAAACCGTTTCTATCTGATCCTCTTATTAACTTTAGTTATGTATACTGAATAATCTAATGTCCGAAAAGAATAGGTAGGCTCCTGCAAAATATATGCATTTCTTTAAAAAAAATATGCTTTATCACAGTCAAGTTAATGAGTTTACAGTATGTTGGATACATTTGATATTGAGATCTTTTGGATCTCACCTCCAACATGCAAAACATAGCAGTCCTGACTGAAATAGGATTTTGGATTATATTTTTAGCTTCAGAAGGCCTTAGCCCAAATAAGCAAGGCTCTTTAATCTTGCACAAGTGCGGATTGATACTGATTTCTGTGACATGTGAGATTCTAGAGGAAAAAATAATATTTTGTCAGACTGTGCAATTTTTCACCATAGACAAACCAGGATTACATTAACATAGTTTCTAATTTTATTCTCAATGAAGGTATTTAATAATACTTCATAAATGGCAAGAGACCTCAATGATGGAAGCTAGCATTTGAGCTGCTATGATTAGACACAATGGCAAAATATATCAGGAAGACAGTCCAGGAAAAAAAATAAAGCTGGCAGACTGAAATTTAGAAATAGCATAGAGCAGTGCTCTTGAAAGTTTTAGACATTTGCATCTCTTGATATAACCGGACTCAGAAATGATCAAATGAGGCTTGAGATAAAGATAGTATCAGAGTTATTAAATTTGCAAATAGTTGCAGATTGAGAAGATTAAAAAAATTAAATTACTGCCCAACTATTAATTTGCCCTTTTACTTTAAAATAAAACAATAAATGTATTATTTTATTTACTCCTAAATTTATTTTAAGTGAGAGAAACTTTTAATGACCTAATTTTACTTATGCACATCAAAAACGCCAATTGGATGTTTTTCAAGTATCCACAACAGAAAATCCTTCTTGCGTAAGAATAAGGGGTGAGAAAGTTTCTAAGATTTAGGGACACAACTCTACTTGCAGACCCTTTGAAGATCCACAAGAGGTCATCTGATGATTTGATGGTATTCCTGGAATGAAAATGTTTGGTGGGCTTTAATGGTGAGTACTGTGTATGAGCCAATCTGTTTTCTGTCACAACCTAATTTTGAAAAATACATTAAAATTACTACACTGAAATTGCAGTATATAACAATGGAAAGGTTGGAAATTGAAGAGGGGGGGGATATTTTGACCCCTTGAGGCTTTCTACTTTTATTCCTAACCTTATTTTTGAAATAAAAAAATGAAATGCTAAAATTCAGCAGCATGGTTTTAGAAGGCTTTAAGTTTCATGCAGTGGTTAAAGTCCCAGGCTAGAGACAGGGAGACCTTAAGTTCTAGCTCTGCCTTAGACACGAAGCCAGTTGGATGATCTCAAGCCAGTCACTGTCTCTTAGCTTCAGAAGGAGGAAGGCAATGGCAAGATCATATACAACATGCATACAGTTTTTAGAAAATCTGATAAGTTGGTAACTATGAACTTACCTGGACAGAGGATAAACTTACCTGTCCCAGAGTCATGTGATCAACCATTTGTAACTTTTCCAGCCAGCTTCTGACAAGCAAAATCAATGGGGGAAACCAGATTCACTTAATGATTGCATGAATCACTTAACAACTGCAGTGATTTGCTCAATCTTCCCAAAAAAGCTAGTAAAATGGATCAAAACTGTCTTGCTTAGCAATGGAAATTTTGGGCTCAATTGTAGTTGTGCGTTGCTTTTTTCTACTCTCATGGAAAGTACAAATATTACAAGTTTAAATCCATTTTCCACTATTATATATGTTGAGAGGGACTCATACAAGTTTGTCTCCTGTATAATCTGGAGGGCCACCATTACCCGTTTTCTGTTATAGAACCCAATTATTTGATTGTCCAATATTTAAGTGGATGCCCAATAATTACCAAATCCTAATGTAACATTCATAAAAGAGGAAATATACTTCCAACCAATGATAGTTCCTCTAGGGAGTACATCATGAGCCAAACTTCACATTCATTCACCTTTGAATATAATGAAAAAACTAATGTTCATGGACTTCCAGGAGGCAACCATGACTCTAACCTCCAGACAAAAGCTCTGTTGCTAACAAAGGTTAGTATACAACAAAGTTAGTATACTTAACCTTTTGGAATGTTCCTGAAAGCCATATACAGGTAGTCCTCGACTTATGACCACAATTGAGCCCAACATTTTTGTTGCAAAGCGAGACATTTGTTAAGTGACTTTTGCCCCGTTTTATGACCTTTCTTGCCATAGTTTTTAAGTGAATCACTGCTGTTGATAAGTTGGTAACACAGTTGTTAAATGAATCTGGCTTCCCCACTGATTCTGCTTGTCAAAAGGTTGTAAAAGGTGATCGCATGATCTTGGGAAACAGCAACAGTCATAAGTATTAACCAGTTGCCAGGCATCAGAATTTTGATCACATGATCATGCGGAAGCTACAAAGGTTGTAAGCGTGAAAAATGGCCATGTCATTTTTTTCACTGCCATTATAACTTTGAACTAAATGAACTGTTGTAAGTCGAAGACTACCTATAAATGCCTATGTCTTGGAAACATAGAGCCAGGGTATTTATTTGTCTATACCAGGGGTAGGCAACCTTGGCTCTTTTATGACTCGTGGACTTCAACTCCCAGAATTCCTGAGCCAGCTGGCTCAGGAATTCTGGGAGTTGAAGTCCACGAGTCATAAAAGAGCCAAGTCTATAGATACATTTTGGCAGAGACAGAAGCAAAGAGGTTCACTAACATAAAGCAGTTGCTGGGAAAAAATTAGCTTCATAACTGCTTAGTGAATCATAAGTAGGTAGATAAATAACAGGTTAAGGTTCAATGGTTGGGCAAAAAGTAACTAAAATTTGTGGTGGGATAAACTAACTGAAGAGTCATGACTAATTCCTTTTTACATTGACTGCAGTTATTCAATTTTTAGTAATGGATAACCAAATTATTCTGATAAACTTTCGCAAAGATTATGAGGCAACAGCATTACAGTCTGTGGCCAACCTCTAGTATTCAGTTACTCTGGCTCTGAATATGAATGTTCTGCTTAATTAAGAGAGGTCACTGCAGAGGTTTCCTGGGACAGAGCAAGAAATGAACTTTGGAGATGCAGCCTAGAGCTATGAAT